TCATTTACATAGGCTCTTATGTGTACTTCGATTTGCAGCATCAGCAATTTAAATACTCAAAGTCAGTAGTCGATAGAGGGTCATTGAACTGTCCTCATCGCGTCACAAGTGCCAATCTCCTTTCTCTGGCTTTCGTTTATGATATTTCTTGCTCTCGTTGTTGCTCTTGGTGATAAGAAAGAGTTTAAAAGATAAATTGTTTCGTGAGCGTTTTGAAATCTGATTTTTAACTTATCTAAGTGAAGTTTCCATAAACGAATCAATAACGTCTTCCTGTCCTTACGTTGGTGACAAAATAATTTTCTTTATTAGCGTTCCATCAGAAGAAACCGACAGTACGTTTGTAAAGCGAAGGGCTTGCTGCAGGAAGGTAACTGCATGGTGGACAAAACGCATCGCAACCAATGTCGTTCATGTCGATTGAACAAGTGCATCAATTCCGGAATGAACAAAGAAGGTAATATATTTATGGGCCAGTCTTCACTGAATGTCAATAATTATTTCACTTCACAGTAGTAAGGTACAGTTGTTGCGTTGTGGTACTCAGCATATGTTCAAAGTGTGAATTTCCTTTATGAGTATCTTCAAAACTTATTACCAAGATAGTTCCAAACCGGTTTACTGCATGCAGCTAGGCCATTAACCTATTTTTTCAACTATCGAAAGGGAATATACTATATCTATATAACGTTACAAAATACGTGAGATCCTACCTTTCTTCATTTGCTTTGCTCTCATGGAAGAGGATGACAATTAAACTGCTAGAAAGAAGAAGGAGGTGAAATTGAAATAGTAATACCAGCAAGATCTGGAAATGAGCGTGATAGCGTTGTCTACTCACCCAACAAAACGATGTCACAGGATTGGACTGGTTCATAGCGGACTCCGGCATTTGGATGAAGAGAGCTCTCGTATACAGTCGAAACCAGATTTCATTCTATGACTTAGTTATGTTGGGTGTGCAGATAAAAATTTTTCCTATGGTATGTTTTCCACTGTGGCAAACTTCATTAATCTCATATATTTTAAATTTTATAAAAACTGTATTTTCAGTGCATTCTTTATTGCACATGCCTACGGATCGACTACATCTGTTGGTGTTCGAGCATATTTCTGCTTGACCCAAAAAAGTGGTCTTGCTTTGTGGCTCTCCATTGCCGGTGCTCAAATACAATGGAGCCGTGGCGTGCTTGAACGCTTTAGTAGGCAAATCGAAGCAGGAGCAGAGACGACTGTGCGGAGCGCATCCGCAGATTTGGCAGGACCTTGTAAATTTCTCGAGCAATATCTGATTGTTGCATTTTTGATGATTTCATTAAGTCGATGTCATGACTACAGCCATCATGGTTACAGTACGTGATGTATTTTTGTTTTAGCCGTACAACACGAGAGAGGGCCGCGAAACTCGACGCTACGTCGCCAGATGTCGCTGTATTTCAAAGGAGTGGACCAGCATGACACCATAAAGTTTGGCAGTTCGGTTTTAACAGCAGTAAATGGCGATGCATCCACGAAGCATGCCATGATTTCCAGCAACGGCTGCTTTCCTCATTACTCACCTAATCTTTTGTTCAATCCGTTGCTGCGAACAACTGTGGGTATGGCTCCGTCTGAACTAGTCTCCCTACCTCCATTTCCGTCGTCAACCCTGTTTCTAAGAACAGTCAACGAACCTCCTCCAAAAATGGATTGGAATAAGGTAAACGGAGAGATTTTTTTTAGATGACCGTTAAGGGTTCAGTCAAGCATTTAGGTTCATCTAACGGAGAGAAAACAGAGACTTAAAGAGCAGGCTGCCCGCTTGCTCTTTCTTACCATCAGTTGGCCAAAGACTATTCCTCAACTGACCATTCTCCCTCAAACACAACAGGTATGACAAATTTCAAGCTAAAGACTTCTTTCATATACACAATTTTCAAATTTCAGGTGGCCATTATTAAGTCTACATGGTTTGATATCTTCCTATTAACCATTATCCAGTTCAACTTGTTGACTAAAGAGGACGCCAAATGGTTGAAAGCGGTTACCAGTCGTTCAGAATGGAGCGACGAAATAGAAGCGGCCTTGGAAGTTTTCGAAAAATTCCAGGCAGCACATATCGACGCTTTTGAATACTGCTGTCTTCGGTGCCTAACTCTCATATGCTCAGGTTTGTTCTTTAACCTCGGTAATTTAAAATTCCATGTTCCATATTTAATGCATATTCTTTTCAGATATCGCATTTCAGCAGCAGGTCTACTTGACCCTCAACAGTTATCACCAATTACAGTACCCCTGGCAGTGTTCCCGTTCGTCAAAACTGCTGCAACTGCTACCATTGCTACACACGGTGCCCAGCGATGCGCTTGTCCGACTTTTGTTCAGAGATGCCATAGGAGACATTTCCATTCATCGACTTGTGTGCGATATGTTCTTGTCTGATGGCCAGCAAGACATTGTTCAGTCTGTGATAACACAAAGCTAAGTAATCCGGACATTGCCTATGGTTCAGCGAATTCCTCATGCAATTTCCTGCCACAAAAAGTTTGTACGTGACCGTTTAGCACCCCTTTAGATTGTCGTTTTGCCGTGTAACTGTGTGCTAAAAATGTCAAATAATATTTACCGTCTGTTTAGCAATGTTGTTTCTCATCCTCTCGGGAAGAGGGGGCTCGTGTCTTTCTCACGCAATAATAAAAACAAATGCTTTATCTATTTCAAGGAAACCATTGCCTAATATTGTCATTGCCGTTTACGGTTAAAGCAGATGACATGAAGCTTCTCTTTGCAGAGTGAGCATGAATTTGTCAGATTATCTTGTTAGAAACGCTCGAACCGCCATGTCCATGAAAACTTCTCATAGCACGTGCGCCATGAACAGCGCGCCACCTGCGAAATTGTGATGCAGTTGCTCAAAGTGATGCTCAATGGCTAAATTGATAATGATCATGATTGAAATGTGACAACCGCACTTAAAGTGTACTGCTATTCCTCGTTCCGTTTAAATTGACCATTACTTGCTTCCTTTTGACCCTATCAGGTTTAAATGTCACAAACTGTCGCTTATAAGTACAGAAAGTCGTTCGGTTACCACTGCACTGTTCGACGTGTATGTTTTCAAACAAAGTAAACAAGCGCGCCAGTTTTTGCATTAATTGATTTGTGAATCGAGAAGTACTTAATCTCGAGTTAAGGCCAGCCATCAAAATCTAAAATGTAAAAACATGAATAACTCCAATTTCTGCATGTGACTCAACAAATGGGCATGTTTGCCACACCAAAGTAAATATAATTGACATTTATGCACAATTCAGGATCTGTCTTTGATTCGAAATTGTCAGTTATGAAGAAGCCCAACGCAGTTTGCAACATTCTGGAATTCGTGCGTTTTTGATTCCTATCTCTCTGCGTACAGTGTTACCACATCCAAAGGCATCGAAAATGCAATATCGGCGAAAATAAATTGATAATACAATGACACAGGGTAAGCTCAACAAAAATATGCGCACGCATTAATTATTAACATTCTCGCATATGCTTTAACGAATCTAACAAGCGATAGCAACCTAGATGACTTCCATGAGTACCTATAATTAGTTGTGAGCGTATTGTCACTGGTAACTTCAGGCGAAAGTCGGCGCCGGTCACAGCACGTGGGAAGGCGTACTTAGCTGGACTCCATTCTTTCATAAAATAATTCAGCAAGCCACATGGGCGTCCCTCGACTAATATTGTAGCACCCCACTGAATCATGTAACGTTCCGTGCCAGTAGAGGCACGCGTCAGGCACGGAGCTTGCTTGATCATACAGCAGCGGCGGATTTCCACCGAAAATTGTCCGTACCTTACGACGTCGTTTGGATAAAATACGCCAAATTCTAGACATTGACACTGTAAATTAAGACGAAGCGACTCGTTGTAATGACTGCCATTTCTCAATTTGAGGCGCGGTTTGGTTCACTGACTAGTATCTGGCACCTTCTTCTGGCCCAACGGAAGGGACGGTGTAGTGTTTATTGACCGGACCGAAAGCAAGAATTCCATATTTAAAACCTATTCTTCGGTAATGTAAACCGGTTTGAAATCATTACATCGG